GTGGGCGCTAAGACGCACAGTTCACTGTCACCGTCTTAGGCCCACCTCATGAGGACATTCCAAATCCGTGATCTTCACAGCAAAAGGAAAAAGCAAAGTAGCTGCTTCAAAAACCACAATTATTCTATGTGAGTTAAATTTCCTACTTCAGATCACAGTACTACACACTAGTGACTAACGGCCAGGTCTGATTTCCATCCCCTTTTGTCTTTTGAAAAAACACAGCACACAAATTGCCATTTCGATTTTTGCTGACGACCCTGGAGGGGAATGTGAGGAGTCCGTGGTAGACGCTGGCTCTCCTAGAACTGCTTTTGCAAAAAACACCACATGCTGTCAATACAGCCAAACAGCTTTATAACTGCAGCTTTTGAAAGAGTGTGGAAAGTAAAAACACAAAATATGTAACACATCTAAGATTAGCAACATTTTCACTTTGTGACATTTGACAAAATACATTTTTGCTTTGTAGTTCAGGAAAATTCTATGCAGACAAAACAGTGGAAGCTGCGGGAAGGGTGGCCGTTCAGCTTTTGGCGAAAACATCGATTTTTCAAATACACCGCTATGGTAACTAACACCGAAGGGCTCATAAAATTTTGTCACTATCTGTAGGACAACATTTTACTCTCCCATTTGCTATGGATGTGACCCCTAGTCCGGTCAATGGGAGGTACCAGGATTCAGAACTCTGCAATGTTTCATGAGAAAAAGTAATGGAAATGGGCCATGCCATGGGCCACAGAAGCACATTTCTCAGCAACTTCAGGTTCCTGTGACTTTCACAGATCTGGAACAAAGACCTCTGAGGAACTTCACCTTCAACACATCTGATAGTTACTATTCCACACCTTCGGGGAAGGACTAAGAAATCGCAGCAAAAATGGCGAAAAGGAAAAACAAGCACATTAAAAGATTTTTATAACATTTGAAATTCACAGATTTGCCAGAAGTTTGGCAAGTGTAGAGTACTATCTAAAACCAATTATAGATGGTCCCCAACTCACGGCAGTTCCACTGTCTTCTGACTTTACGATGGTATGAAGGTGATAGGCATTCAGTAGAACTGTACTAGAAACTCTGAATTTGGATCTTCTCTGGGGCTAGCCATATGTGGGAGGACTCTCTGATGACGTTTGGGCATGGGCAGCTGCAGCCCCCCTCTGTCACACCATCGCAGGGGTGAACAACCAATACACCAATACACCAGTAACCATTCTGTTGTTCACTTTCAGTACGGTATTCAGTTAATCACATGAGACTTTCAACACTTTCATTGTAAACTAGACTCTGTGTTGGATGATTTTGCCCAAATGTAGGCTAAGGCTAACGGAAGTAGTCTGAGCACATTGAAGTTACCCTAGGCTAAGCTATGGTGTTCGACAGGTTAGGCGTATTAAGTGTTTTTTTCGAGTTATAATATTTTCAACTTACGATGGGTTTATGGGGACATAACCCTCTCATAAGTCAAGGAAGATCTGTACACCATTTTAATATTCCGCCTTCGCTTATCAGTTGCAATGTGGAGAATTTTTGTCAAGGAAAATAGTTGCGATAAATCCAGAACTTTTTAATCCAAAGAGAACCCGGTTTTAGTCATCTGACTTAATAACCCCTCTCAAAGTCAACTGAAAGAAAAATGTAGGGACCATGGCAAAGGATAACACCTGCAGCTGGAGATAAAAATAATAAAAAGGGAGAAAAATTTCTCCTCTTTAAACAGAACTGTGTCAATTCCTATTCATCTCTTACAAAAAGGCCAATAAAATTTTTGTGGGCGTACATCTGAGTTTTATGAGACTTTCTGCACCGGTAAATGAAGTTTGCATTGAAATCCATAGAGTGAGCTTCCCTTTGGCTTAAAGGATTTTAATGTAAACCAGTAAGACTGCACGAGCAATGTTGTAAAAACTGTAAATTAACTTTATGATGCGGCAGTCTGGTGCAGCTGGGAAGTACACCCTTTTGGTGGCATAATTTGAAGTCCTGTTTAAAGCATGACCGTTAGACTTAAATGCTTTTGAGGACTGACAGATGTGTCCTTAAGTGGGATATCTTGTGAAAATTCTAAGTAACCTACCAGGTATCACAGCCCACTTTTAATTTCTTGGTTCGTTTTGCACTGGGACAATAACACTTCTGCGGTAAGCACTTGCACTGACCAGGGACTCTGTTTCTAGAGGGGCGGCGTTTGTGTTGTGACAGGAAAATGTTAAAATAGAACAAGGGTTTAGGTCACAGTGAGTAACCACAAGTTCCAGTGTCAGTTAAGTCTATCTGGTCTGCATTTTCCACTCCTCCCTGACACACCCCCAGCTGTGTCTGTGAATCTCATGAACGTGGGTTCTCTTTGGAATTCTATTGTAAAATACCATACAATCCTGCCATGTGACAGCCACAGAATTTCATACATTTCTGTAGAAATCCTATGCAGAATTCCAACAGAAATAAGAGAAAGGAAAAGAGGGAGCAGAATGGACTGACAGATGGATTTGAACCTTAGGAAGAAGTCAGAGGTGAATCATGCTCATTCACACCCTTAGTTACTCAATATGGTATGATGATCATGAGCATTTATAAAAACCCAGGCCAAGAAAAGAAAAGAAAAAAAAAAGTCCATAGGAGGAAATTCTAGACATTGAGGAATTGATGATAATCTCTTTTCTTAAAATAATTTAGATTCTAGGGAAAACATTAAAATTTTTCATTTAATATATAAAAATATCAGGTCTAAAAAGAATCTGTTTGAATGCATGGAATATAGAAAGCAATTATAAGGCCAATTAGAAGGAAAGGCGGGGGGGGGAGGGGGAGGCAGGATGATTTTTAAATCCCTATTAACATCTCCAAGATGGAAACTAACAAAAGTTCTCTCTAATGTGTTTTCTGCAAGTTATTATCCAACAGTCAATGCAGATTCTTTCTGTATACCACCATGCCAATCAACTCTCTAGTTCATTTTGGGTGACTGACCATCTACTTCAACTTCTTGCTCCTTCAGAAATGATAGCAAGGGTGTCAGATGATTTACACTCTCATGCCCTTCTCTCTGTTGCTCCCCCGAAGGAATAAACAAATAGAGGACATTAGTAAAAGGGCGTTTTCCTTATCTAGAGATGGTATTTTGAAAATATGCTCAGCAGTTCTAAGAGGATTTGCTCGTTCTGTATAAGATGCCTTTGGTTCCTGAGAAAAGAAAGATGCTTTTGGATTTCATGTAGCAAAGCCTTTCATCCAATACAGGGGACTGTATATACCATGTTAGTTAGAGAACATGGCTAACACATTTAAGAGTTCTTAATGCCTTACCCATGGTATCATAAATTCCACCTATCTCTAGTTCTTTTTTACTTCGGTGGGGATTTACATTTTTTCTTCCTACATGGGACTTATAAAAACTTTTTTTTTTAAATGACCATATCCCACTGCCAAGTAGTCCCTAATTTCCCTATTTTTATTCTAATGAAGCCAACTTCTAAGTAGCTGATCAGCCCTGTGGTTGATCTAGGTCCTTGACCTTGCTTGTCCTGATTGTGGACAGCTAATTAAAACATCAACCGGAGCAGAAACAGATCTGTTCATCTTTAGTCTACCAGGACACCTTATCAAAATGATTTAATAGTATAAAAGATGGAGTCATGTTAAGATGGGGTGGGGGGTCACGAATTATCTGTGGACTTCAGTTTTCCACAATACCATTACTTCTTTTTTTCAAAAAAGAATCCGAAAGCAATAGTCCTGTGTTAATGGTCTTGTAGAAAAGGCCTACTTGATAAGGCTGAGCAACCAGATGTTGAAACTTCCTGAACAACGCATGTGGTTTCTGGGACATTGTGGTCGACATATTCCTCAGGTCTACTGACCCCTATCATTTAGACCAAAGACTATCTGCTGATTTTCGGAGAGGCAAAGGAGGATGCCCTATAGCCCTATGGGGAGATATTGTGATAACAGACTAGAAAGTTTCAAGAACCTGGATTGAAAAGTGTAGCAGAACCCCTCAGCCCCTTATATCAATGTTGGGCAACTGAGTCAACACCTTCATCCTCCATCCCAGAGTGACAGCTTCTCAAAGGCGTGTGGCATCTGTAGTTCATGTATTTCCTTGGGCTCGATTTGACCTCCCCTCCAAATCCTTGTAATATGTCGTATTCTAACAGCACTCTGCAATTTGAGCGGCTTAGTTGGGAAGAGAGACAGCTCTGCTTCGTTGACTTAGAAGACATAAGTTTCCATATTGAGCAGTTTAGTTATGCTCCTTGAAACCGCTCCTATGTAATGGGTAAGGAAGGGGGGGGGGGAAATGTGGGTAGATTTGTCTCTGGGAGAAAATGAAGGTGGTCATGGCAAGAACTAGTTTGTGGTCTATCTTACCTTCTGGTCTTGTTTCCACTAAGTGGCTAGGATAAATGGGGAACTGGTGCTGGTGTGATGTACTCAGATTCTAAATTCTAAATGCCCTCCTCGACGTTATTGAAGTCCTACAAATAAATGGGTTGGCAACCCCGTTTCACTTCTAAAAGCCAACGTTACAATGATTGCTGACATCACAGATGCCAGTTGGTAGAGAACCCTGACAATCTGGTACCAGAATCAGCTGGCCCTTTGGGGCACGTCATTAAAAACCTGCTTCAAAACATGCACTATTCAATCTCTACCTTCCCAGCTTTATTGTAGCTCATCTTTTTCCACAGTTCCTTTTATCTAGCTGTGCCCTCACTTTTATTCTCGCCACTCCAAATCTGAGAAAGTTCATAAAGTGTTAACCCGAGTGTGGATTCAGACGAGACAGTAGAGCCCTCTTATATTTAAGAGAGCTTGTACTTCTCCCTATTAACATATTACACCTATATAGAATGCAGTTTCTTCAACCAGGGATTCTCACTGAGTGTAAATGAAGGCTGAATTCCCCCAAGTGCCACTGGGCCGAAAGCTGCCTCTTTCCCATTTAAAGCAAATGTCCCGAAGCTGGCCGTCACTGTCTCATGAACGATAGTGGACTAGAGTCCATTTTGCCTGCTGTAGTTGAAGTCGGCTTCATCGAGTTGGGATTCTGTAATGTTTGAGAGTTTCGTGTGTGTCCGCCCAATCTCTTCAAGGGCACAGGCCAGGGAGTCAAGATCACCATCGTGCTGATGACGAGCTTCCCACAGGTTCAAAATGACAGCGGATGGACTACTTTGTGTAGCAAAATAAGATAAATTCCTAGACAGATTTGAAGAAACAAAAAGAATAACAAAAAATGAAAATAGAAATAAAGGAACAAATAAAAATCACTATAAGGGAATTAAAAATGAATTGCAATGGATATTACTACAATAGGAATAGGAGGCTCCACTATGGCAGGTCTGGAGGCACTGAACCTGAAAGCTCAACTGTGGAATGTTGCCAATGACCTTCTTATATCCCAGGTCCTCACCTCCCTGGACGGGTGTGTGTGTGCATCCGTGCATGTGTGCGTGTGTGTGTGTTTCCCTCTTGACCACCTGCTTGAAAAAGTTCTTTCATTAACTTACACAATGACATAACTCATTCCTATTTTCCAAAATATCTGACCCCTTTATCTCTCCCTTGGTAAACAGAGGACTGTCAAGGTTTTATCTTTGATTTTTTCTTTCCTTCTGAGGTGAGCTCATATACTAAGTGGAGTAGTTATCGACTCCAAGCAGATAGTGTTTAAATTGGCACCTCCAATCTTACAGGTTAGTGTCAGCTAGTTACAGATCTCCAAATGACCTTGAGAGTGCCTGGATTAGCTATCTCTCCACCTCCTCTAACTCAATGCATCAGAAATTGGTATCCTTTCCATGCCTCCAAATTGGGCCCCTTTTAAACTATAACAGGTATCCTAGTAATTACAAATGTCCTTCTAATCTCTCACACCGGGACATTTATTTTTGACTCTTCCCTTTATATTGTTTTCTTTTTGACATACACATCAGCTCACATTTCCTCTACATTCATGCTATGCATATGTAATTGATGCTCTATCATTTTTTTGCCTGAATCACAGCAAAATCCTTGTAGATCTTTATGCCTGTAAAGTTTCTAATATATCCTGCATTCTATTTTTTCAATGATCAGGTATTACTCTCCTTGTTTTCGATGCCTTCCTCTGTCTGGCCCCACCTTGGTATGGCAATATATATTTTTATTCAATCTTCCTTTGCCCTCTGAGCCATTAATGCTGACTTAGGTAATACTTTGCTTCTTGCTTTTATTCAATCGATTCTCTCCATTTGGAATACCCACTTCGTGTCTTTACTCTCTGTTTATCAACATCTTACACCCCTGCAATGCCTGGTTCACTTCTCTACTCTGCTCAAAATGCTTTATTTCTTCTCTGAATTCTGTCACTGTGCTTAAATTTTCATATGAACAAAGTGCTGATATATTTCATGTGAGTTTTGACTACCCAGCATGATTACGGACACCTGAAGAGAGAGGATCATAGATGATAATCTTCTGATTCTGTAACAGTCCTTATCCTAATACGATGACAGGTGTTTACTCAATATCCATTGTCTGAGTAATTGATTGCTATGAGCTTTTTCCAAGTGACATGAGATCTCCAGTGAAAACAAATGGTAACCTTTTGGACAATGACTTTGCTATGGCGAAGACTAAGACAACACAAAAGATTAAAGGTCACAGTTTTTCATAGGCACTTTTACAGCACAGATAGAAATGTCACCTCTGGAGAAATTTTGATAAGTTGAACAGATTTTCAAGAGTCAACCACGAATTGCCCGTTTTGAGGATGGCACAATTTTCCATCACCACATTCAGCATCTAATCACAAAGTGGACTCGTAGCTAAGAGCACTTGGAAGAGAAGACCAGCTTTTAAGGGCACATTACCATTTACAAGCACCACGCACACATCCAGTAATTCCGAGTGAATAAAGGGCTACTCAAAGATCTTAAGGGACTGCTTAAAGCTAGTTGGTTGCCATGTGGCATTATTTTATTGGGGTGCTATATATACTTTCTACTACATCTGAATCCTTAATTGAGAAAGGGAGAAGGCCAGCTTAAAACTATTCTCTCTGGTTTCTTCTTAAATATAGTTATTTCTGCACTAATAGAAATGGCAAACCAAACCCTGCGTGGGTAGTTGAAGGGATCCCAGTTCCTCTTGTTTAAGAACTTTGTTTTGAATACTGTCCCTTCTACCTGGTCATGGGCCACTGTTTGCAGAGAAAGCTGCTATATCTCCAGGTCTGTAAGTAAATTGGTACACCCCTCCCAACATTCAGGCAGAACATGAACTGGAGGACTAGCAGAGAAGAAGGCAAACTGAGAGACTAGGTGTGAGTGAACTCTTGGGCGGGCTTGTGGGACAAACTATTCCCATGTCCTTTTTGAGACTGATGACCATAAACATACATTTGTTTCTGGAACGGGTAAATTTCTCTCCAATGTTGTTTCAAAAAAAGAGAAAGAACAGCAAGAACAACAACAAAAAGGACAGATTTTTTATCATTCTATTGAGGGCTTATTTATAGTTTGTAGTTTCCCTTGAAAAACAATGGACCAGTGTCCTGTGGGACAGACTAGAATCTTGTGATCCTATCACCCCCAAATTAAGCTTTATTCGATACCAGGGGTTGACCAATGTTTCTGTAAAGACCAGATGGTAAATCTTTTTGACTTTAGGGGCCACACATGGTCCCTAAAGCAGCTACCCAACTTTGCTATGGTGGTATGAAAGCAGCCACAGAAGATACATATGAATGAGCATGGCTGTGTTACAATAAAACTTTTTCGAGAGACCCTAAAGTGTGAATGTCCTGCAGTTTTCACATATCACACAATATTCCTCTTCTTTTGATTTAAAAAATTTTTTTTTCCTGACCATTTCAAAATCCTGAAACCATTGTAGCTCCTGGGCTATAGGCAAGCAGGTGGTGGGCCAAATTTGGCCGTTAGGCCATAGTGCTGATCCCTGTCCTATGTTTTACACCATAAGCTAGATTTCCAGTAGCTCTTTGAGAGAAGATTGGACTGAAGTTTTTGTTTTGTGCTGCATTTGAAAATAAGCATCCAGAGTGCCAAAGTCATTGAAACCACAAGTCACACATCCTGCCTCAAGCACTTTGAGAGCTTTGTGCTCAGTAAATGTTCAGGGACCTTTGACATTTTAAGACCTGACAGGAAGACCCGGCTATAAAAATGCAATAGTGAAATTTTGGGAGAGGCATGCAGAATGTGTTTTGGAGGTTGGGATAAATCTTTGTCCTAACACAATATTAAAAATTTCCATGAATCTGTGGTGGGGGTGGGAGTGGGAAGGTGTTCTATCTGCCTAGAGGACGAGGGGCAGAGCTGGAGAAGGACTCCTGCCGGCCATTTGGTTCTCACATGTCCTGATTTGTAGGGTAGGCACCCGGGGCTACAGGAAGCCGAGTGGTCAAAAGTGGCAGAAATACAACTTTCACTTGGCACAGGTCTCTGAACATATTATAACAAGTGAAATGTGCTCTCCAAAGCGTGGCTCAGATTTATTCTCTATGCAAGCACATTCATCCTAACACACACAAATCTCAAATTCCACTAAATTTTAGTAGGTACATGCAGGATGGTACCAGTCTTATTAAAAGTGATTCAGTTAGCTTTGTGATAAACAGACCTCCTATTAAGTTGCATTTCCCGGTCTACACCAGGAACAGTTAGTATATAAAAGACCCTAAAGTCCCAATGCAGTAGGCTGTTACTCAAAGATAGGCGGGTTATTTTAACTATTTACATATGTGCAAACGCACTGGTTTTTTGTTTGTTTGTTTGTTTGTTTGTTTTGTTTTGAAAGTTGGTATACCATGCATCTATTGGGTTTTTTCCATACTGCCCTTTTGCAATTATTCGGATCCCAGTCTGTGTGACCCATTTGTCTTCATAATGGTGGTACATTTGGACACCAGTAGGTAAATTCACACACAATTCAGGGAATAATATTAATACCAGAGAACAGAGTTCATAGCAACAGTTGGTATTAAGTAATTTTGTGAGTGTCTTTGAAACCAGAATATTTAGCAAAAGTAGTAAAGTGGTAGCCCTGAATTTAGGTGGATGCCTCAAAATAAAACAATGTTTTTACTTTCTCTTTGAAAACTGTTTACAGAAGTGAACGTTTATTCTGCTGGTCTCAGATGTTTCCAATTGTTACTTTTTTATGCTCTGAACTTAGGGTGACCTTTTGTGGTAGCCTTTTTGAATTCTGATAGACTGAGGTAATTTTGAAAAAAAATTAAAAAAAAATAATTGTGGTGTCCTGAAGATGCTGCCTACTATGCAGGTGAGATTATTCTCTAAATTTTAGGAATTTACTTTAGAATCTTTCTATGTCTTCAGGTCAGTTCATTTGTCCTAAGCCTTGTAGATTCAATGACTTTATCTTTTCTGTCGTAACTCCCACCGAAAAGAGCAGAGAGAAACTATAAAAAACTCATGCTGAGACAGCCGGATAAGTTTATCCATGTAAGTTCATTGAGTAGTAATGGCTTATGAAATTCAATTTTGTTTTGTTGAGCCTATATGCCTACTATTTACCTGAGTTCCCGGTTGGGGGGGGGGGGCAATTAGTTTATTACCATGATTAATTTCATCTTTCTAAGCCTTTGCTGTTCCCATCCCTTATCCCCAATTAGAATCCCATGCTTTATGTGGAAGCCAGGAGAGAATTGGGAGCATGAATCTATCTTAGCAGTTTCACTAGCTAGACACAGGCCGACCCATAGTGATTGATGTATACAGTCAAAAACTGAATTTTTACACAGAATCCCAGTTTTCAAAACACATCTTCAAACTCATGACCATGTTAAACTAATAATGGAAATTAGGTTAAATTTGAGGATTTCTGGAAATAGTGACTCGTGCCTTCTGTTTTCTTCTTTTGGGGAAGAATTAAGGGCCCCTGCTAAAATTCTGCCCTCCAATGTCTTTATACAGTATTATACCTTGGGCTAGTTTTTTGAAAAGGAAAAGTGGCTAGGCATCCATTTGGTATGAATTTAGAGATACCACCTTTTCTTTAGTACTTGAAAGCAGCATTCAAATGTAAATGTCTTTGGGAATAGTAACCTCTAAATCTTCAATCAGTTAGCAAAAAGATAACAGTAATAGAGGGAGGTGAGAGTCTGAGGCTCAATCTTAGCCCTGGGGAAACGCACTGAAGGGCAAACTGTACTGATGCTGGAGTTGGCCTGG